TAATACAAATTTGCTAATACACGATTCTTTAATAATACATGACAAACTTCAGGGAATTAAAGAAAAAAAGATTCATTTAAATCATTTAACATAATTAGCATAACAACTGCTAAACCAGAAAATATCAAGAGGATATTTCAGCCTCTAGGGACTCACAGTAACCAATTTTGTATGTGCAAATATGCAATCTAATTAAAAATTTTAAAAATAGCGAAGAAGAAAACTACCGTAGAATTTTAATGCGAATACATTTCATAAACAAACTTAAATCTCCTTTCCCTCGGGTTACACCGTCACGTTTAGTTCAACATACACAGCGAATCTTTTAAAGTTTCCTACCACGTTCGTACAATTCGTGTTTCTCTTTTTTTTTTTTTATTATTTTTACATCACGAGTAACTTTCTTTCGCCCGAACATGAGGAAACCTCATGTCCCAACTTTTTGAAAATGGAACTGACAGACAGACAGACAGACACTCCCGCAGCGTTACATCCTAAAATTAATACTATTATAGTTTTCATAGCATTCCATGTTAAATCTATTACAAATTCTAGATGGATAATAATTAATCTATCATTCTGCTTTTATAAGAGAATTGAATTATAGGAAAACAAGTTGTGATGCTTGAAAAAAAATATTTACTGACTCGAATGAAAAAACTGACACGTCACTTTCAAGATTTCGTGGGAAAAGTAACATACGTCAAATATCATTTGATGCCAGTCAGTTTCTCTCGATTTCATCTCGTCCGCGACGAATGGGAGAACAATTCCACGGAAGACATCGTGAGAACGTCGAAGTGTCCCATTGTTGGGCGAAGTCGTATCGCCGTCGACGACGGGGATGATACCGCCAGAGGAGAGTACGGCAAAGAAACACCGGAACCGGACATCGCGTCAGCAAAGAAACGGGGACGATGAAGGGTCCATCGAGTGAAATGTCATCAAAGAATTCGCAGGCGATCTCGAGAAAGCTCACCCTGCCTCTCTCCCCCTCCTCCTCCCTCCTCTCCCGAGATCCGGACCTAACGTCTCTCCCGGCGATAGGCAGGGAAGTACAATTTCCTCGGGATATACTGTTTACTCACCCTGAACTCCCCGCCGCAGCCGTCGTCCAGCTCCAAGAGGTATCCCTCGATGGCGGGACCCCTCTGTCCGGCGCAGCCCATAATTCCGTGGCCAGGTGGCGGCTGCCAGGCAACGGTGACGCTGTTGTTCTCGGCGCTACACTCTTCGGGGATCAGCAGAGGCGCTCCGGGTGCTGGAAATGCGTACGTCGAGATTTAACAGCTTTCCGCGTTACATGGAAGCGCGGAGGTGAAGTAATAAGCTGGATTTAATAATGTCTTTCGGGCGTGCGCGCGCGCGCGCGCGCGCGACTCTCATCGTAAAGGAGTTCCATTCTAACGGGGGATAATTGCAGTGACGCGTGATTGTTACATTAAAATATATGAATTAAATATATGAAAATAAACGAAATTTCAGTTTCTTTGGTTAATTTGGTATAGCCGCTTCTCCTGCAGCGGTAATGCAAAGAACGCTCGCGTGATGGAAAGGTAGATACGGTTACTTTGAAGCTGCCTCGTAAAAATAAAGTTATAAGCAGACTATAAATCAGTTGTTGTACTTGCTTAAGAACGAAAGCTTCCAATACTGAAATTTTCTACTTCGCTAAAACTTTGTACACACTTAAGAAGTTTCCCGGGTAAGTAACTAAACATTTCGTATTTTCGTAGCAAAAGGATTGAGGTAAAGGTATTTAACTTTGGAGATTTCCTGCCAACAAAGTTTGCTTATAAATCATTTTACAAACGAATAAGCTTATAAATTAATGGGAAGTCTGTCACACAAATATATTAAAATGAGATGTAATAATAAATGGGAAGAAGAAAAATTCTCGATAAAATAATGTAAACGCAATAACACATGTAATAAGCTTACATAGGATTGTGAATTAAATATATACGTCGTGAAGAAAATATATTCACACATATAGATAATTTGGTAATTTTGATCACTGCCGGCTAACTTTAATATAATATGATTTGAAACTGGGTATTTGGCTCCAATCCGATTTGCCTCCAAAGCTGGCTCGCCGCTGATGACCTTCGGCGGCAATAATTTCACGATTTAAACAGGCTTCGGGCTGCCGAATTTGCCACGAGTTTCCTAACGACGAACGGAACTTGGAACGGATCGCCGGTTGCCGTGCGACCGCACGATTCTATTCGATTCTGACTGTCTAAGGTACAAGTTGAAACCGCGGAAATTACTGCGCTTCAGATTTCTGTCCCGCAGAAATGTATTGGGTTGCCGGCGCAGAGCACCATATCTCTCAATTTGCCGATCGAAATACATACAACTATCTCAATAAGACGATAGAATGAAACTGATCCTCCGTATTGAAATAGGGCAAAATTATCAATACTAACTTCCCGTAAAGTCACAATGTTAAAAAAATGATGGAAAGTATTTTTGATTATTTATCGAGTAAATTAATGTAATTTCTCGGGAGAAGAGAAATAGGTATGTACATTAATATTTTAGAATAATTCTTTTTAAAAAAAATATATATTTTTATAAAAAAAAAATTGTTTCAAATATTAAGAAACTTTCAATTAATTCAGACGCTATTCTAAAATATTCTAACGCACATACCTATTTCTCTTCTCCCGGGAAATTATATTAATTTACTCGATAATCGATTAATCAAAAACGCTTTCCGCGCGCGCGTTGCTTCCATCGCGAAAGAATGGCCGTTCGAAGCGATACTGATTACATAGGACCGACTGTTCGTTACGGTCCAGGCAAATGTTGTGTCTAGGGATAGTCCGCTTTCAAGAGTGTTGCAGGCGGTTGATGCTTCTACGTGCAATTATTTGGCTTTCAGTGGAAACTTGCCGCATCGCGACGCAGGTCGTCGGCTCGTCAGTTAACTTGTTGACATGCTAATAAACCAAAGGCATTTCTCCTCCCGGACGCGCCGTTCGTCGACGCCGTGCGATTTCGCGCAAACTTATCTCAGAAACGCTCTCGATCCCCTCGGTACCCGACGACTTCTCGTCCGTTTCGGTCGTCGATTTCCGGTAGCAGCATAATTCGATCGGACGATCGCCGCCGTGACCGAGGAATAAACACGCCCGCCAAAAAGGCAAAGGACGGGAAAGACGAAGGCTTGGCAAACACGTCACGATGCGCAGTCGGATAAAAATGTGTCCCAAAAGTTATCGCGGCCTTTTTGCCACGCCACGTTGATACTGTTGAGTCGCAAAAACCGCGATCAAAGTCGGCTTTTCGAGAAAATTGTATTGTTCACGACGTCCCGCCTCTACCGCGGTTTACTTTTTCAGCGACAATCTCTTTGATCAATTTAAGTCGAATTTTATTTCGCGGATATATAATATAGTCCGTGATAGAAATCATTTCGCGCTCAATTTCGATTCCAAATCAGATAAAAATCTACTTTCTATAATAAATAAAAAGATAGACGAATCAATGATCGATAGTGATTGAACCGTAATAAAAGGGTACATATTTTTTGTAGGGTGAAAAGCGGAATTTCAATGGTGTCCCATGCATTCACGCAAATGAAAAAAGTACTCTGTTCTATAATTTTCTGGAATAAAAGCCGTGGAAGCTGCGATTCGACGCAAAACTAATTACCTTTCCGATTTCGACGAAATTGACTCGTGAATTCAATGATGTATGAAACTTAATACGCTTTTTCAATGTATGATGTAGGAAAAATTATATTTTTCTGTACAAAAGAGGTAATCTTTTATGGGAAAATATAATTTCACGCATACGATCGAGAAATGCAATTTTTCTGCAGCTATGGAAATTTAAACAAACATAAACATCGCGATACATAAAAGGAAGCCAAAAATTGCGCGTCCTGCGTCAATAAAAAAGATTTAAAATTTAATTTCAAAATACGGAATATTTTCATATCGCGACGCGCAAAAAGTCTATAAAAGGATTAAAATGACAAATTAAATGTTTAAATTTCAGCTTTGCAGAGTTGTCTGCAGTTGATGATGGCAATGAATTCCGGAGAGGTGTATCGCAAAGTTTATAGACTGCTTAATTCCACATATATATAAATATAGACGCGGAATACTGAGAATAATATTTCGTCTAGTTGCACCTTCAAGGAAGACTTAACACGTGTATGCATAATTAACTGGCTTCATGCTTGACAGCGAATCGTCACGGAGTTCAGCATATCCTTGGAGACGGAGAGAGCCGTTTCCAAGGAAGCTCTACAAGCACTAGAGCTCCAAGATCCCTGCGGTGTTCACATTATGAAATTAGGCTAATGGCGCCGGCGTTACATAACTATGTTCAACATTGAGCTTTAATGCAAATTAAGATCGTCTTGAGAAACATTTATCATTTCGTATTTTCATTCCCAGTTAAATGGCAAACGGAAGGGAAACGTTACTTCTCTGTTACTTCTCATTTGAATACGTATTTGAAACTTATAAATAACCATATACTCGTTTATTTAAACACCTCGCGGTGAGCTTAATAACATTACTATTCGAAATGTTGATAAAAAGTTGTTGATAAGAAAATAAATATTGATTTACAAAGTTATATGGAGTTCAAGATTTAATTTTCGAGGCGACGTTAAGCGAGATCGCATAATTCGCGTGACGTGACGAAAAAATGGAAGAGAGAAAAGTCGTTTATGTCAAATAGAAAAAGAGCGACGTGGCGAAGAACGAACTCATGCTGTTTTACCGCTTATCCCGATCCAAAAACTCGTGTAATCCGACGTGGAACCTCGACGATGGAGCCGTTCACATGATAAATTCCGTTGCTCTATATCGTCGACATTACTATCGATTATCCTGGATTTCATCGAATTTTACGTTGGCGCTATCAACGTGCGAGTTCGTAATCTCTAAGTATTATAGCTAGCGTAAAGGATTATTTCTTGTAATATCTTCTCTTTCAATATGATATATATTTTCTAATGCATCTTAACGGGACAGTAAACATTAATTTTTATTATTACTATTGTTTAAGTGTTAATTAAATTTGGACGAAAGATCGCGTAACAAACTCGGAGCATCGATACTGCCATTCCGTAATGTTCGTTCACGACCTAATAACGACAAGAATCCGGAGGAAACGCGAGACATAACGATTACCGCGGCGTCAATTAAAGCCGGCTAAAAAAAAAAAAGTCGCGAGGGAATACGTGAAATATTTATCATCCACTCTTTACGAGGGTGTGCTCGTAAAAGCGGGAATTAATGGGCAGGATAGGTGCATGCGAGAGAGACTCCAAGATCTCCGCTTCCGAAGGACTCAGGACAGAGACGCATGGAAACAACGTTCGCGGATAAAAAACTGTTACGGCCGTTCTTTTTACAGCTCTACAATGGAGTCCGACGTGTATCGACACACCGGCGAAACTTTATGCCCATATCGGAATGATTTATCGAACGGCGCGAGACGCGCCATGCCGCGCCGATATCCGATATGTACAGACTCTTTCTCTTCCTTCCCTCCTTCCTTTCTCTCCCCTCCCCTCTCTCTCCTCTCTCTCTCTCTCTCTCTCTCGTTACATTTACTTACTTTAGTGGAAAAAAAAACGAAAAAGAAAAAAGAAAGTAGTACTGATAAGGTAGTAGATGAAGAAGAGAAGGGGAGGAGAGAGAGAGAGAGAGAGAACAGCATGACGAAGCGAAGAATGCGGCGATAGCCCGTTAAAATGTATCGCGTGCAAAATATATCTCGCTGATAAAACTTAGCGACAGGTGAAAATAAACTTCGCGGAGGATGGACGGCTCTCGGCCTGGCGAAAAATGGTCTTCTCGCGAGACTCGACTGTGATCTTGACGAAGTTCGCCGAAGACGATCTTTCACGCTTCACTCCAGCGCAGAAGCACTCTTGAAACAATCACGTCCGCTTCGGCACTTTCGTTTCTGACTTCTGCGAGACAACTGTTCGCGCGAGAAGCTTCCTCGCTTCTTTCAGACTCTCGAGAATTGTCGGCTATATTTTTTATTTGCGTTCGATACGATACGATAATTCTTTTTTCTTACATTACGTTCGTAGGTAGTAATATTTATTTCCTGATGCATTTTTCTTTCTGATTCTCGCAGTAACTACGATAAAAATTAATCTGATAAGAAGAGAGAGAGACAGAGAAAAAAACTGGCAATCTCGAACGTACAATATTGTTTCAATCTTTACTTTTTATTTAAATTATCATAACTTCTAATTTTTATTCAAATACAAAAAAATCAGTTGAATTTCTTCCTTTCATTTTTCACTAAAATATTTTTGAATAGTATCACATTTGCTTTTATAATATGGTAATATTTCATATCTCTAGTATTTTTTTTCCTCTCTCTCTATATATAAAAAAAATTTGATTGAACTTCTTTTGAATAAAATATATATAAATAAATATTTAAGAGTCACTTCGGTCAATATCAATGACTCTGGAACGCGGGCGCCGAGAGAATTATCGTTGTTATTAAAAGAATGGTCGTTGACGATGGAGCACGATTGCAGCATCGCAGGCGCATAAATTAATGAGCGAATTAATCTGCCAGCGTCGAGGAGGTAAAATCCCCGTTTACCCATGTTATCTCGGCGAGACATACGTACGGGACATTAACGTCGCATTGTACGGTCGTCAGCCTCGTCCGCGACAAGCCCGCGTTTAATTTTCCGCCGGACGTCTAGACCGATTCTTCGTTCTCCTTTTCTGTCCACATAGCGACGCTATGGGACAGGGAAATCTATCAGGGCTAAACAGGACAGAATACTAAAGCGTTAATTTGCCAAAAGTGATTTGCGTAAAAATTCACTTTAAACTTTATGAGAAACAAACACTGCTAATATCCGCTAATTCCCTGATGCGAGAAATGCAATCTTCATTTTACAATCTTCATTCGCATTATATTTATGGCTTTGGCGTAAACATCACTTTTTAACAGGCAATAACCATTTACGCTCGTAAGCGGACCGTGCACCGCGTTATAAAACGAAAAATGATAAGACCAGCGAATTTCACGGTGACAAATTTTAACTTTAAGACGATTCGATCTTCTTTCACTCTTTAAAACCACGGAAGCAGATAATAACAGGATTTAGTGGCGGCCCAAGAAATTCAACAATTTTTCATGTCATAAAATATTGATGATAGCGCACCGCAATAAAGTCGAAATTTAAGAAAGCGAAGCACCTGTTCGGAAATATCGTAATGTTTTCGTCGTCATCGTTCATCGTCAATTGCTCATCTCTCCCCCGTCTCAATATGACGGAAAAATCGATGAATTTTTATGTTCGATTAAACTCGTTCCGTCGAGATCGAAATCGCGCCGAGCGCACGTGATAACCTCGTAAAATACGAAAATAAATTTCGCATTTTCGCTTTGCCCGTTCACACCATCGCTATAAATTGCTAAGGAATAATTCAGTTTCCAGCTTTGTAACTTCTGTTACAACTGCAATCCCAGATTTTTCCGAATATTTGCCATGATATTTTAACGTTCTTTTCGCGCAGTTTTGTGCAAAATATATTTGAAAACTAACAATAAGTTATACAATTTTCATTTTTCATTGTTTCTGTAATTTAAAAAATTCTTTTATTTTATAAATATTTAAATAAAGACTTTGACAAGAAATTATGTAAGAGAAAAGGATTTCTCCTTTTAATATTACGTTTAAATTACATTTGAAAAAGAAGTCGTCAATCAACGTAATATGCATATACCTTTCTAATGTATTGAATTCGTTAGATACCTGAAAATACGCTCGAACGATTTCGTTGGAAACTTTATGCAGAATTCTCGCAAACTTGAAAATTTCCACAGGGCACATTCCTCACTTTGCTATTTGCAAAGCCGGGTTAAGTAAATGAAATTCCGTGTGACTGCCGATCGCAGATTTTAACGAACTGAGGCGTGCTGCTCTTTGACGAACTGTGCGTAATGAAGAAACTTTCTAATATCACCGTACGATTTGTATCAAGATTGCGCGAAAGTGAAACGTCTTGATTCTAGAGAAGTGTGAGTTTATGCCTTCCTCGACGACGGCAAACGTTTATCGAGTTTCGTTAAATAGATTTGTATTTCATTAACTCTCCTTTCCTAATTTCAATCGGAAGGTGCGTAGAACTGTAAATTTGCTAAAATAATGCATATGATCGACGTGCTCTTGATTTCAACGGCAAAATGCCTCGATCAATTTTATGTTAATTCTATCGTTAAATTGAGTCGATGAAATAAAAATTTTATTTACCGGTCGGATGAATCGAGTTTTCGTGCTACGTCTGTCTTAACGCGATTCCCCGTACTTCGAGCTGTACATTATTAAGTTATCCATACATCATGTAAACATGTTAATCAGACGCGATTAACATTTCCCGACCTGACATCGGGACGGTAACACGTGACGTCGTGTAACGGAGAGCCAGCGTATACCCAGCGAGTACCGAGGTAAGGAGAGCATGTCTCTTTGTAACGAGTTAATACCTGTAGATCGTTACAGCAGTTACTGCAAAGCCGGTACCTAATTAATCCGCTTTTGAAACGTTTTAGCGTATGGCAAAGCCGGCGGCGGCGAGCAAGAAGGCATGCTTAAAGGAGCCGCCCCCGGAGGCTACGTAAAATTATTAAGCAGACCCCCCCCTCCCCCTTGCTCGACTCCCGACCGTCTAGACGACTTTGGCGGGTAAGATTGACGCCTCCTCCATCTCTCTTAATTATTATTTTTCTTTCCGTCTCTCTTCTCTCTCT